TATCACTCGAACTCACATGGAATTAATTTATAAGGTGGTGGTGCCCTTCTATGACTAGCAAGGTTTTAAATAGCCGGCAATAGCTGCCGCTATAGCCCGATATAGCTGTTTTAAGGGGTCCGTCGCTATTTGCTTTCACGTACAACTTAGCTGATTTAGCCCGCTATATATTGTCCCGCTATAGCCTCATTTAGCTGTTTTAGAGACAAGCCGCTACAAGCCCATAGCCAGCTATTTAAAACTCAGTTAGAGAGTGGCAAAATGTTCCAGCAGTTGTAATTTATAAGGTGGTGGTGCTCTTCTATGACTAGTCAGTTAGAGAGTGACAAAATATTCCAGCAGTTGGCTTTGGATAATTTTATTTCTCTCAGTTTGTTCAGGTCATCATTCTTGTGCAAAATATTCCATCAGTTGGCTGTGGATAATTTTATTTCTCTCAGTTTGTTCACATCGTTGAGCATATTCAGAAATGTAGTACTAGGATAAAATTTTGCTCCTACTTGTCAGGCTAGTGACAACCATCCTTGTTGCAAGTAGTGGATTAGCACAAGCCTCTTTGTGCTGTTTTGATGATCAGGAATAGAAACAACCTGGAATAACCGAACATGTATTTTGATGATCAGTTTTCATTCAGGGAGTGGTTTTAGACAGGAGATAGTTTGAGTGAAACGGCAGGATCCACCGAATACTGCCCTTACTGCATTCCTGCTCTTTTTTGAAAACTGTGTTGCCGAACAAGACCTGAATGTTTCAGGAGATTTCAGCTTCAATGATCGCACCCAATTTCTTGTGAACGGTCATGATCTTCGTCGAGCAGAATCCATCACCGAATTTCAGAGTGAAAGAGTCATTTTTCACCAGTGGGCTTTAATTTTGCTGCAGCTCGCACGCTCCGTTCGCCGTCGATGAGTTCTATCGCTGACCGGCAAGTTTCCCATCCCTGCAATTGCAGATGTACCCTACTTTCGAGCTTTCGCCACTTGCAGGCGAAAGTCGAGGACTGCAGCAGAAGCCTTGCATCTCCTGAATTTCCAGTGGTGTTTCGGTTCGGAAGAGATACTCTGTTTTGAAACATGCGTTGCCTCTTCTGGACAGAGTAGCAGTACACATTCAGAACCGAGTTCCCGATTTGTAGATCCTGATGATTGCTAATTTGCAGATCCTGATGCTAGAAGGCGGCACATTCATGGCTGATGCTAGTGTTCAGTTTTGTGAGAAATTTTGTGATTATCTTTGTGATGAAGACATCACTCCTTCGGATATAACCAACACTCCTCCGCTGAATATTGATGTTTCAATTATTAGGACTAAAGCACAACAATCAAAATTATCGATGAGCTCGTTTTTTATGCATTCTTCATATGGTTTTGAGAATAAATTACTACCTAATAATTTAGTTATTGTTAGGAACCATGGAGATGATGATGAGGTAGCTGGAAAGGAGTTTGGAGGCGTGAAGGGCCAGCAAAGGGCATCCACGTCCAGTTGGAGGCCCAATCTAAGTCGACTTCGAGTAGGTTTCGGAGTCCAGAAGCAGTTTGCACTAAAAAGGCCGCCCAGGTAGTATACAGGCTCGGATTTAGATGTTCTACATATGCACGGAAAGATAATTTGATCAACTTTCCAATGACCCCAGTTTCAGGTCCAAATCAGACCGGAATCATCAGCAATCGTCGAAACAAGTTGACATCCAGAATCTGTCTCGATGCTGCACCACCGTCTTTGGCCTTTGGGCCGTGTATCTTGTGTGAGCCCACTAAGGGCGCGTCCAGGGTGTCTTGCACGTCCCCAATTCTTTATTAGCAGCCACCGACATCCAAGTTAGGGTTGAGTTTTGCTTAGATTATTCTGTCAAGAACAGTTTCGCCATTTATCGGTTTGTGAGACCTCAACTTGTTAGTTTAATCATATATCTGCAATTTGGTTGCATTCTTTCTTGTTCTTGCTTGTGTTCTTCGATTCGCAGGCAGAGATTAGCCTTCTCGGCGAGGTCAATCGTGCTTGCACGGTTGATAACCATAGGAGACGTGGTGTTGCGATTGCGGGGTTCGGAACGTGTTGTTCGGAAGCCGGATTGACGTGTGTCAAGTCTCCGCCAAATCGTTATTTATCTGAACCCTTTTGGAAGATCAGGACCCTAGTTCACATTAAGTGGTATCAAAGCTTCAGGTGTTTCCGTCAGGTTCGCATTTATCCTAGTTTAGTTTCTGAAATTTTCGTCCTATCCCTCCAGAAAATAGCCCTACAAAAATAGTTTACTTATTCATCTCCCGCTGTTCTATATCCCCTTTGTGCCCTGCAATTTTCAGTTTAGTTTGCTTCTCTGAATTTTAGTCCCTACCGTGTCATTGTGTTGCTGGTCTAGTGTTTGTTTTTCAGATCTAGTTTGAGTCGAGTCTAGAGCTTGTGTCCTGCAGATAGAGAGTTTGTGCCGTGCACTAGAAGGAAAGGGAAAAGAAATCAGATTTATTTGTGCTGTGTGTTTGGTACAAGTGGCTAAAGGAGAAATATATCCACGCCAATACAGAATAGGAAAAGAAATTTTATAGTTGAGGAGTTTTTATCTAAGTTTCCTATTCTGATCCTGTATCGTATCCGCATAGATCAAAGAAAAACAACTTTGCGTGGAATTGTGTGCAAGGTATACTCTATTTGTATTATGTCTGGACTGCAGTCAATATTCCATATCATTATTAGCCATTTTTTTGTGCAAACTCATTTTCAAAGGCAGGGTTAATCCTTTGGCTCCTGTTTTGGCTTGTTTCCTTGCGTGAGACTTTTTTTGTGCGGCAATTCTGATTAAAAAAATAATAATAACAAGGGAGAAAAGGCAGAAGGTGCTGAAAAAAAGAAGAAGAAAAGCCGCACCAATAAAAAAGACAGAAGGCCTTGAGAAAGGAAAAGAAGGAAAAAGAATTCAGAATTGCTTGCATCCTTTGAGTCCGTTGTTTTATTGCTTGCTTGAATTAGATCCGAGACAAGTTTAGGCCGGTGACATAGATAGATTAACTTGGGACTATTTTTCAGTTTTGCAATTCTGAATTAAAATTTTGCTAATCCTTGCTATCAAATATTGCCCATCCAAGCTCCATATATATACTTATGAACAACACCAATTTTTGACCCTCGCAATCGTCGGATCACTCTCCAGATATCTTTTACTTTGCTAGTAAGAAACTTGTAAGAGTTTGGTAAGACGTTTCCAATTGCTTGTTGAGAGCCTCCACATTCATATAGTAGTGATAAGAAAATATACTCTTGTATTTTTTCTTATTTTCTACTAACAATGACAGATTACAACACTATAGTTGATGAGTTGTTGCGTTCTCTAGCACAACAAGTGCTGAATTCTCAAATGGAGAAGGTGGAGCAAAATCAGTTGAACACTTTGTTTCAAACTTTCTTTGTTGTGAAGAATCGATGTTGTCGTGTGATCATTAATGGTGAGAGTAGCCGCAACATTGTAAGTTCTGAGTTAGTTGAGAAGCTTGGCTTGAGCACATGGCGGCACCCATGTCCACACTATATCCGATGGCTAAATTCTTGTGATACGATAAAGGTAACTGAAATTGCTCGCATTGAATTTTTTATTGGTTCTTACAAGGATAGTGCAGAATTTGAAGTAGTGCCTATGCAAGAATGTCATTTGATGCTAGGTAAACCTTGGATTTATACAAATAATGTTTTGCACAATAAAATTGCCAATAGATATTCGTTTAAATACAAAGGCAGCAAAACTACTCTTACACCTATGACTGATGCTGAAATTTTAGAAGCTGATCAAGAAAGATTTGAGAGAAGAAAGAATGAATCTTTTAGGAAAGAATAGGCTGGTTTATATGATGCAATATTTTCATCTAAATCTGAATTGTTACAAGAGGAGCATTTTTCTTTTCCTCCTGCAGGAACTAATATCTTGCAGCAACAACATAAAAAAGAAGAGGATGACATGGAAGAACATAAGGAGCTCATAGCTTCATATGCAAATTCAGAATCATCTTTTCATCATGCACTTACTACTCCTGCTGAATTTGAGAGCAACGGTAATGCCCATAGTGCTACACACACGGAAGGTGAGAACTCTCTTAATGTGCTGAATTTTTCCACTAATCGTGCTAATATAGAGCAAAATCTAGTGGAACCGTCTCTTGATTTACCTTTGTCACAAGTTGATTTTCCTGCTGATCCTTGTGATAAAGAGGGGTAGTGCGCTGATGCTTCACTTATATCTTTGCCACAACTAGTGAATGTGCATGATACTTATATTTTTTAGTCATGTACTAGTGCTGAAATTAAACATTCGATTTCCATTACCTCTGAAAATGATCAGCTGAAATTGTTGTCTTCTCTAAATACTTTGGGTTATATTGAATTTGACGTTCTTTATGATCTAAGTTCTATAGAGAGGAGAATATTTTCCAAATCTGAATTACTTTTGTTGTCTAGAAAAAATTTTCATGCCATGGGTAAATATGATAAGAACGGTGCATTTATGGTGCATAGAGTTTACATTTGTTTAGATATAAAAGAACCATGTGTTGTGCGACAACGTAATCAATTAGTTTGCAGCACTAACATTGAATATGTCTTGCCAAGTGCTGTTGGTTTTGTTTTTAAGAAACAGGATCAATCACATGAATGGGAGCATTGTTGGTTGTCACCACAAAGTACCACAATCGCTCCATGTGTCTCCATAAAGGTCAAACCGAAGTCGGTTTGCTGTCAAAAAGGGGAGAATGATGAGAGCACGAAACTTCTAGATACAACAACTGATCTTGAGTATAAGGTGAGCACATTCCTACTAGCATAGAGGCCATACACGATAGAAGAATATGAGCTTGAGTCAAGAACGACTCCAATTCATCAAGAAGGGGAGGATAATGAGGACATCACTCCTTCGGTTACAACCAACACTCCTCCACTGGACATTAATGTTTCAATCATTAGGGCTAAAGCACAACAATCAAAATTATTGGTGAGCTCATTTTTTATGGCCTAAGGGTTCTTGGTCGAGTGGTCAAGACGCCCGAGTGGCACCCTGCAGACCCAGGTTCGATACCTGGTGGGACGAATTATGGCTGTGGGTAAAAAAATTCTCGCCCTTTCTGATTCCCAAAGCAGAGGTTGTAGGCCCGGCCCAGCTGTGGTTACGGTACGGTGCGCCGGCCCAGCACTCACGGGGTGACGGGCCCCTCTGTAAGGGCGGGAGGGGGGTTCGCGCAGGTCCGAGTTTTTATCTATTTTTTATGCATTCTTCATATGGTTTTGAGAATAAATTACTACCTAATGATTTAATTATTGTTAGGAACTCTGCAGATGATGATGAGGTAGCTGGGAAGGAGTTTGGCGGTGTGAAGGGCCAGCAAAGGGCGTCCACGTCCAGTTATAGGCCCAATCCAAGTCGACTTCGAGTAGGTTTCGGAGTCCAAGAGCAGTTTGCACTAAAAAAGACGTCCATGTTGCATACGGACTCGGATTTGGATGTTCTACATATGCACGGAAAGATAATTTGATCACCTTTTCAATGACGCCAGTTTCAGGTCCAAATCAGACCGGAATCATGGGCAATCATTGTAACAAATTGACATCCAGAATTTGTCTCAGTGCTACGCCACCATCTTTGGCCTTTGGACCGTGTATCTTGTGTGAGCCCACTAAAGGCGTGTCCAGAGGGTCTTGCACGTCCCCAAGTCTTTATTAGCAGCCGCCGCCGCCCAAGTTAGGGTTGGGTTTTGCTTAGATTATTCTGTCAAGAACAGTTTCGCCGTTCATTGGTTTGTGAGACCCCAACTTATGAGTTTAATCATATATCTGTAATTTGATTGCATTCTTTCTTGTTCTTGCTTGTGTTCTTCGATTCGCATGCAGGGATTAGCCTTCTGGGCGAGGTCAATCGTGCTTGCATGGTTGATAACCATAGGAGACGTGGTGCTGCGATTGCGGGGTTCGGAACGTGTTGTTTGGAAGCCGGATCGACGTGTGTCAAGTCTCCGCCAAATCGTTGTTTATCTGAACCTTTCGGAAGATCAGGACCCTAGTTCACATCACTTTGTCAGTTCTTAGCAGAGTTGTGCAGCATTATGGAACAAGTCATCACATTTTTTAAAATGAAAGCGTGGAGTCAGTGACCTGATACCTCTTCATTTTTAAACATTCCATTCTTCTGAAGAAGAGACATAAACGAGTCATATAAAATAGGCACCATTTCTGCAAACAAAAGGCCTTATGTAGGCCTGAAAACGGGTCGGATATTATCCGCCCGCCCGAGTGCCCGAAGCAGGTCGGAGCTCAATCGGATGTCAAAAGTCGGATACCCGCTAATTTTCTCGGATATCGGAGTCGGAGCCGGATACTTGGGTCGGGTATCGGAGCCGGATGTAGGGAGGGCAGTATCCGTCGGATACCGGATATCCGGCAAATTTATCGGATACATCCGATTGTTACCCGATGGAGTATCCGACTTCCATTCGTTTCAGAACAGAAAATATCCCGCTAGTCCAGCCCACCCCCGATCTAAATTTTCTTCTCCGTATACAGCGGCAAGCGGCACCCATGTATGGTAATCGATCTTCCCTGATCTAAAGTTTCCCGTCTCGATCATTCATTCTCTTCCGAGTCCCGCCCTCAATCAGGTGATCCCATCGCCGCCGCCTGCCACTGGCCATTGGTTCCTCGAGTCCTCGGCAGCAGATAGCTGTTCAACCAAGGATTCGTCAAGCACGGAAGCCTCAATTCGCTGCACGCCGCTCTCGCAATCCGGCAATCGGACGTGCCGTGGGTCAATCTAATCCAAACAGGCAAGCACCAATTCTTGTGCATTGCGATGTGATCTATCACAGATTATTTTATTCGTAATTATGTTTAGAATTGGATGTAGGATGGCGGATGCAAGGTGCAAGTGCGAATTAATGTGCAAGTACATGTGCATCCCCAGCTGCTACCGCTAGAGCCGTTGGCACAAGTTAATTGGCACTAAATCCATCAAGACCAGGTGAACGTTTGGTGGTGAATAAGAATGAGATAATCACAGTCAGTGATGGTAGAGAACCTGTTAATATTGAAGATGATGGGGCATGCAGTGGAGAAGTGGAATCTGCTGAAAAGAAACAGAAAAGGTCTACTTTCATGGTTTGGGATTACTTCAATAAATCTATTGTGATGAAGAAGAGGGATGATGGAGTGACAGAGAAACAAATTTGGGCAAAATACAATAGATGTGTTTACAGAGCTCGTGGTGAGTCCACCAAGGGCACGAAGGCCTTCTGGAATCATTTGAGAGCAAAACACTCCATAAAGCCAGGGCAGCTAGAAGCCTAGAACTCCAAGTTCAGAAGGGCGTGATGGTGAAGGTCACAATGCAGTTGTTCAGCTTTTTAAGTATGATGTTAACTTAAGCTACTCCCTCCGTCCCTTTTTATAAGGGATCGGAGCATTTCGCGGATGTCTCAAAATGTAAGGGATCGAGAGTGGGGCCCACAGGTTCTGGGGTCCACGCGTTCTCACCCACCCACCCGAGACGCACGGAGAGCCGCACAGCCTCTCCCTCCTGAGTCGCACGCCGCCAGGTTTATCCGCTCGCATCGCAGCGCCGCCACACGCCGCTTCTTCACCACCCGCACGCCAACGCCGCTTCTTCCCCACCCCTGCGCAGCCACCCACACGCGCACCCCTGCGCCGCCGTAAGCAGGCGCGCCCGGCCCTCAATCGCACAAGCTTCCATCGAGAAGGGCGGCCCTGGATCTGGATCGACTGGAAAGGAGGTCGCCGCTGCCTGGATCGATGGAGAAGGCGAAGAAGAGGCTACAGGCGAGTTTTGACCGGGATGCCGGCTGATCTAAGCATTCACGACCATGGAAGGCGGTGGCGGGGAGGTGGCCTCGACGGGCGGCGTAGCTGCGCGAGGAAGGCGGCCGGAGCACGAGGTCGTGGTGCCGCAGGCGAGGTTGCGGCTCGTTGAGGCATGGTCGCGGCGCACTCGCTGTGGCACCAGCGAGGCCGCGGTTGGGGCGCGCTCGCCGTAACGCGGCGACACGGGCCGCCATCGCCAACGCGCCACGAGCTCGTGTTGGATGCCGCGGTGATGGGGCACGGCGCAGCGCGGCTTGGCAGCGTGGAGGAGCACAACGACACTTCCCAGGGCGGCGGTGCGGATGCTCGCTGCTTGCGGCGCGTCTCAACCAAGCAGGACGGCTTGCGGCGGCGAGCGCTGGACGAGGGCGTGGCTGGTGGGAGTGGAGAGGAAGAGGAATAATTAGGGGCATACTGGTCTTTCCACCGCGCTGATGTTTTTCTCGATACCTTCCCCGATCCCTTGCATAAAGGGACGGAGGGAGTATATATCTACCGACTGCTAGAATGTTATGAATTAAAGCTATGTTAGAATTGAAAGGGTCGGAATATGTATGGTTGTTGCTTTTACTTGACACCCGAAAAAATATTTGTGTCCGACATTGCCCGAAAGTGGCTTGTCACATATTCGATCCGGGATGATCCGCATTCGAGACCGAGACTATCCGCACCCGTATTTGAATCCGACACTATCCGTGTCCGACTCCGATCCCGAGAATAAAATATAGGATAGGATACGGGATCAGTGATATCCGCCCGTATTCGACCCGTTTTCAGGCCTAGCCTTATGCATTAGTTTCCAATTCCCTTTACAGCATTTATTCATCAGCAAAAGATTGCCCTCCATTTCGATGATTTTTTGTCTCACAGTTCCGATGTCTTTGTGTTTCATGGAACTTGGTCTTTCCTTTATTAACCACAGCATCAGCCCCAGGCAGCAGCAGCAGCAGGCAAAATGCATAACCCTTTTCGGCAGGCGCCGTTCTTTTTATAGCTACCACCTTCACATAGTTGCTGCTGAACTTTGTGCTCCCAGTCACTCCAACTAAGCTCAATGGCAAAGGCCTGACGCAAATCTAAGGAAATTACTCCCAAAAAAAAAAAGAACTCTGAACTGACAGTGATACTTGTCCTTGGAGTGGAGGCATACATTTTGATTTCACAACCGGAAACGAAGAACTCATGAAGTTTCAAGTGATTTTATCTGCAAGGATAGAATTATTCAATTGCATCAACACACTTTGTGAGAGTAACTTCCAGATGACCAATAATTAGACAAGGCAATTTCAGTGAATGTTAACAGGATGGACAGATGGAACGGATTGTTCAGATAGTAGTAGTACACAATCAAAACCGATTTAGCCAAAGTTCCTGATTTATATCTCACTTCACTTAGCAATGATTATTCTGACCAACAAAACATCAGGTCAAACTCATTATATTTTGAAGTGGTTTTTTCTGCAAAGGCACACTAGCTTGTTTCAGTGAAATGCCAATAGATTAGATTGACAGGATGGAATTATTCAATTGCAGCAATATACTTTCTGAAAGTGCATGACCTGTAATTGTTCAGGTGACAAGGCAAGGCAATTTCACTGAAACGCCTCGACAGATTGTTCTCACAAAAGAATTGGCAGGTACTTGTACATAGATGAGGCTCTGCTGATGAACCGAGGTTGATGGTGTACAAGTAGTACCGATGTACCGTGAGAGATTAGAGGGCGTTCTTGGCCCGCAAGAGCAAGCAAGGATGTGGAGGCTCAGTCAAGCTTCATGACAGACGAAGCTTCGCAACCCACTCAATAGCAATTGATTCCTTTCGTACCTTGGCTGGAATAGTGATGGCCGATGGATCTTCGGGTAATGGGGGCGCAAGTTGGGCGAAGGAGCGATTCAGTACGAAGGCTGCCACTGCCAGAATCGCTTATGAGCAGGGACGAGCGGACGACAACTACGCATCAATCCTGTTCCGTGGCAGCCGCTCGGCGCTTGGTCTCCGACGACTGCCGGCGAAACACAAAGGCAAGGGATCAGCGGACGACAACGACGAGGCCCGCCTGCAGGCTGGGCGTTTAGGAAGAATGAAAAGGTTGAGAATAGTTTTGGGGTGGAGATGATTTTTTTTTTGGACTAATTCCCAATAATTTGATTTAGAGGTTTGATGGCTTTTTAGAAGATGCTCTAACGTTCATGAGGCATGTTGCGCCAAAATCATTGTCATAC